CATTCATTGTTGCACTTTTCTCCTTGCCCACCCCTTCCCCCAGAGTTGTTTTCTTTACCTAATAGGATGACATAAAAAATTCCCTGAAAAAACTTGGTTTAGAGAAATATATATGATGAAAAGTTGTGTGTGTACATATATATGTGTGTGCATTCATATTTTTGTAGGGAGCAAGTCCATAGATTCCCCCCGCAGATTTTTGAAAATGTGATTATTTATAATCACTATTTATAGCATTTGATGGACTAACCTTTGCATCCCTTTATCACATTGAACACACAGTGTTAACTGTTATTGTTAGTATTGAGCATTACTGTGTGCCAGAGGGTGAGTGAAGAGGAGATGGTATCAAAGAATTAAGTAAAGACTATTTAGGACTTTTTATGAGACAGGGTAAATCTATTTTCATGGATTTAATTAGGAAGAAGTTAAGCTGGGGGAAATTCTTTAAGCTGGACTTGACATGAACTAATTGATGTTTTTAAAAAGTCAGAAATGAAAAAAAAATAAAAAGTCAGAAATGGCTATTTTGTAGAGACTAGAGTTGGGGTGAGTAACAATAAAAGTAGAGCGGCCTGTTGAGAGACTGTTGATAGATAGTCCAAGAGAGAAGTGAAGGGTCCTTGTACTAATAGGATTTCAGGGTGTATATTAAAGATAGAGACTATTACAGCTATTGATTGTTTGTGGGAGAGTGAGAAATGTAGGTTTTTAGTTTGAGAATTTGGTTCATAGTGAGATGGAGAAGATGGAGAGAGAGTATGTTTTGAACATAATAGATTCCAGGGATTTTTACATTTGCAAATGGAGAAAGGTACCAGCTGTCCATTAGGATGCATAAGACATGTAACTGAATTTCAGAGGAGGCAAAGGTTGGGAGTGGAAATAGAAATGTAGAATCATTGTCATAGAGATCATCATAAAGACTATAGCAAAATCACTTGTTGTTGTTACGTGCCATTGAGTCAGGCACGATTCATAGCAACCTTATGAACAAAAGATCTGAACCCTGTTATCCTGCACCATCCTCACTCTTCCTGACACAGAAGAGCCCATTGCAGCAGTCACCACGTCAGTCCACCTGGTTGAGGGTCTTCCTCTTCTTCGCCAACTCTCCATCCTCCCCAGTATCATGTCCTTCTCCAAGAAATAGCCCCTCCTAGCAACATGCCCAAAGTATGTGAGGCAAAGCCTCATCATTCTTGCCTCCAAAGAGTGTTCTGGCTGCATCCTCTCCAAGATATATCTGTTTGTTCTCCTGACCATCCATGGGATAGTCAGTGCTCTTCTTCAACACCACAGCTCTTCTGTCATCCTTATTCATTGCCCAGCTCTCAGATACATAGCAAGTAATCAGAAAGACCATGGCCTGAATTAAAATTAGCAGGCAACATCATAATAGATGGAGAAAACTTGAAGTTGGTAGATGGAGAAAAGGTCTCATTTTACTTGTCAAGAAATCAATGGATGCATTGCAGTGAGGAAATCTACCGCGGATCTCTTTAATGAGTAAAGATGTCAGTTTAGAGACTGACACAGGCCATAGTATTTTCAGTTATTTCATATAGGTCTGAAAGTTTTACAATGAATAAAAAAGACAGAAGAGTGAATGCCTTTTGAATTATAGTGTTTAAAAAAAGTATTGAGTATCCCATGACTGCCAAAAGAAAAAACAAGTCTGTTTTAGAGGAAGTGCAACCAGGTAGCCCCTTTGAGTCAAGGATGGTGAAACTTCCTATCACATACTTTGGGCATGTTGTCAGGAGGGGCCAGTCCTTGGAGAAGGACAACATGCTGGGGAAAATAGAGGATCCGGGAAAAAGGAGGGGAAAATTCTCATGTGGATGGATAAGCACAGTGATTGCAGCAGTGGCCTTGAGTGTGGCAGGTGTTATAAGGATGGCAATGATAAATCAAAGTTCCAATCTGTGGTATATGGGACCACTTTGAATTGTAATTTCTCCATCCTCAATGAGAAGGATTGATGTGGTGACCACCACAGTGTACTTGAACATGACAGACATCATGAAGATGATGCGAATAGGGAAAGCTTCAGATCTTTGTTCATAGGGTTAATATGAGTTATAATCAGCTTGACAACACCCAGCAGTAACAAAAAAAGCTATAGGTCTAGATAAATTTCCTTAGGAAGTTTTGGAGTTCCCCCCACTTAGGACGTTTTAGATAGAGTGAAGTGAGCTAAATGATGCTTGGGAGAGGAGAACACCTGAAAAAAAGTCCAAGAGAAAAGCCAGTATAGTGGTTTCAGAGAAGCTGAGAGTGAGATGTTTTCAAGGAGAGTAGTTTGTGTTTATGCAGCAAAGAGGTCACATAAGGCAACAGAGACATTAATGACTCCTAGATTTAGAAACACAAGTCATACATGACCTTGACAAGAGCAATTTCTGTATATTTAAGGACAGAGCTCTATTACTGTTACATTAAGGAGGGAATATCTTCTTGTTGCTTGCTGCTGAAGATAAAAAACTAAAGCCTTCAATATGGATTACATCTCAGCATCTTCCATTCTCTAAAAGAAAATAAAAATTCTCACCACTGAACTGATAGGCAACATCATGCTAAATGGAGAAAAGCTTGAGACTGACAGCAACTTTATCTTACTTGGACCCACAAATCAACACCCTTGGTACCAGCAGTCAAAATCAGGAGATATATTGTGCTGGGAACACCTGCAGTCAGGGATTTCTCCAAATTATTGAGCAATGTTGTCAATTTGAAGACTCCTGATTCAAGCCATGATCTTTTCAGTCACTTGCTATACATTTGAAAGCTAGATAATGAATAAGGATGACAGAAGAATAATTGATGCCTTTGAACTGGTGGTGTTGGAGAAGAGTACTCAATATCCCATGGACTGCCAAGAGAACATACAGATCTGTCTTGGAGAAGGTGCAGCCAGAGTACTCCCTGGAGGCAAAGATGGCAGAGCTTCATCTCACATGTTCTGGCCATGTTGCTGGGAGAAGCTCTTCCTTGGAGAAGGGATATCATGCGTGGAAAGCTTGGCATGGGGAGACAGACTCTGAACCAGATAGATTGACACAATGACTGCAGCAATGGGCTCAAGTGTGTCAGAGATGATGAGGATGGCACAGGATAGGACAGGATTCTGCTCTGTTTTTCATAGGGTTTCTAAGTTGTACTCGACTCAATGGTACCTAATAATAAGGAGAGAGTAGGAGATGTGAAAACTTTAAAGCTTTTGTTGAGATTATGTAGAGGAAGGAGATCACATAGGCAAGGGAGAACTGTTTTAAAGAAAAAGAAATTCTAAAACTGTCCTGCTGCTGAGTATGAGCTAGTTGTGAAGGTAGAAACTGATGGCATACAAGAGAGTTTATTACTCAAGGTTTCATCTTTGACATGCAAGAGAAGATGGCATGAGAGTCCTAGCAGAGAGGTGTCTTTCATCAGAATAGGACACTCAATTGATTGTAATTGGGAGAAAGGTCAGGAAATAAAGGTGGGTTTGTTGTTGTTCATTTCTCTTTTATCTCAATAAAATAACACTCCCATTTTAGAGGTCAGAAAACTGAAGTTTGATGGGAGGGATGCTATTTGTATTACATCATGACTTAGTAATAACGGTAATTACCTCACGTCTCTAGATTTCCAAGTGAGAGTTCTCTGGTTTGTTACTCTCTTCAAGAGTGAAATATCCTAAGATAGAAATGAATGTGTTTTGCATCTTTAGCTCATTCTTGATTTCTTGATGTTTTGTTCTAGGGACAGATCTGGAAACATCTTTGCTAAGTTTTGAAAAACTTGACCGTGCCTCCCCAGACCTTTGGCCAGAACAATGTAAGTTTTTGATTTGTTGACATTGGAATTGACTCTGATCTAGTGCTTTTGTGGGGAGATTTTGAGAGGTATCATTTAACTATAAATAAGTTATTTTTTATTTCAAAGAGTCTTACTGAGTTCTGTGGTCCAGAGTTAATAATTATCTACTAGTTTACTACTTACTACTTTTCTCTTTTTCCAGAACACTCAAGACATGTTGTTGTTGTTAAGTGCCATCAAGCTGAGTATGACTCATAGCAACCCTGTGAACCAAAGATTTGAAACCTGTTCTATCCTGTGCTGTCCTCACACTTCATGACACACAAGAGCCCACTGCAGCAGTCACCATGTCAGTCCACCTGCTTGAAGGTCTTCCTTTCTTTCACCAGCCCTCCACTTTTCCCACCATTTTTTCTTTCTCTGAGGAATAGCACCTCCTGGCAACATGCCCAAAGTGTATGGGGTGAAGGCTCATGCCTCATCATTCTTGCCTCAAATGAGCACCACAGCAGCACCCTCTCCAAGACATATTTATTTGTTTTCTTGGCTGTCCGTGGGTTATTCAGTGCTCTTCTCCAACACCACAGCTCAAAGGTGCCATTTATTTTTCTGTCATCCTTATTCATTGTCCAGCTCTCAGATGCGTAGCATCATTGTTCTAAGTGGTACAGCACTTGTCTGTCAGTTTACTGTACTGAGATAACTTGGGGTTGCTATGAGACTGAAATCTGTGCCTGTGGTGTGTCAAATGCCCTTTAGGTTACCCATGGTGGACAGGTTTTGGTGGAGCTTGCTAATTAAATTAAGACAGACCAGGAAGCAGGATGGGCCATCTACTTCCTAAATAATAGGCCTTTGAAAACCCTATGAACAATAAAGAAAGAGGATAGTTGTGTAATGGTAAAGCCCAAATTGGAATTCAATTGAAATGAGGAAAAACAATAACAAACTGTTTAAAGTATCATTGAATAATTGGAACATGGAATGTATGTAGCTTGAATGTTGGAAAATTGGAAATTGTTAAAAATGAAATGGAACACATGAATATCGACTTGATGGCACATAACAACAACAACAACAACAACAACAACAACAACAACAACAGGCATTAGTGAGATGAGATGGACCAGGACATGATAGGAAACAGTTTAAGATTTTGCTTCCTACAGATAAGAAAATCTAGTTTAAAGTATATAGATAGTTTGATAAAATGTTACGTGCCATCAGGTTAGAACTGACTCATTGCTGGCCTTGTAACAGTGGATTTTCAGAGGCGATTAATTATATGGAAGCCTTCCCATCTTTCTCCCGCAGAGCAGGTAGTGGATTTGAACCAGGTGCCTTTGAGTTGACAATGTAACTCCTTACCACTAAGCCACCAGATAGGATCATATAATCTTCACATTAACTCATTTCACCTACTAATTTATTACCTGAGCAATTCATGTTAGTGTGTACATCTAAGAAGTCATGGTGATGCAACAGTTAAGTCCATGACTATTAACAAAAACTTGATGGTTGAAATCTCCTCAGTGGTTCCACCAATAAAGATGTGGTGATCTGCTCCTATAAAGAAAGATTAGCACCTATAACCCCATATCTGTCACTAATAGTGTCATTATCTATTTTCTATCTATCTAGTAACCATTATCTATCAGATAATGCTTATCTGTCACTAATAGATAACCCACTATAGAATAGCTATCACTGGAAATGGATTAAATAACAGTAACTTATAGATCTCCTTCACTGTTTTATGTGACTGCATTGTATTCTGTTGTGTAGGTGAACCATGGTTTATATATTCATGTTCTATTTTCAAACTTAAGTTATAGTCTGTTTTTGATTTTACAAAAAATTTAACAGTAAATATCTTTGCACATACCTTTATAAACATTGAAGAAGATAATTATGGATGAGAGTACTCATTTCCTTACAAACCTGCCAGTATTGGATGTTATTGATCTTTATTATTTTTAGTTTGCATTTCTTTGTTAGCAAGATTGAACAGTAACTGATTCTTTTTTTTTTTGTTTTTTAATTATTTCTATGAGACAGTAAAAGAAATAATTGAATTGAAAGAACAGCAGTATGCCTAGAAAGGAAATTTGATCTAAACTTTTTTGTAAGAGGTATTGTATCTTCCCCTCCCATCTGGCCAAGTCCTGATTCTTCAGGGTTCAGTTGAAGCATCTTCTTGTCCCTTTCGTCCAAGTTATACTTTTATTAGTCTTCCAACAGCCTCTGATCTTTTTCTTGGGACACTTAGACAATATTGTAGTTATTGATCTATTCTCTTTCCTCTTTCAGACTTTCAGCTCCTGAAGGGCAAGGCTGTTTTCTTATTATTTGAGTCCTCTATACCTAAGGCACATGCGTATTTATTGAATGAATGATATTTTTTTTAAATTCTTTTTTCAGTACCAGGTGTTGCTGAGTTTGCAGCTTCCTTCAAAAGTGTAAGTATTATCTTGTTTACTTAATGAAATGCATATAAAATTTCTCTCCTTGGTAAAAACTCAAATATCTCATTTCTTTTTCTTTTCAAGGGTCATTATTGTTGTTATGTGCCATTGAGTCAACTCTGACTCATAGTGACCTCATGCACAATAAGTTAGAGCCCAGAGCCTTTAAATAATCTTATAACCCCAGCCCTGGAAATCTTTTTGTACTAATCGTTATTTTAATTGATGATACTTTCATATTCTGGTCCAAAAGCATTTTTGCCTTTATCTGTTAACTTCTTTTCTCAATTTGAAATTCAGTTTGAGATAGTGAACATAACTGCTGATATACTCTTTTTGCCCAGACTTGAATTTTGAAGCTCTTCTGTTTGAGCTGTGGTGGCATATAGGGAAGTGTGCTGCTAACCTAAAAGTGGGACCTCTCTGGTGATTTAAATCCACCAGCTAGTTCCCCTGGAGAAAGATGGGCACCCTCCTCCTGTGTGATGTACAACCACTCGGAAAGGATCTGAACTCTAATGACAGACTTCATGGGCAGAGTTCAGATCTCAGGATAGCAAACAACAATAAACTGTAAACAGGTGTTTGTTTTGTTAAAACCAAACGAACAGTCCTCTGAGGAAGTGTAAATTAAGGTCATAATATGCCACATATCCCAAAACCAAAGAAAAACCAAAACCCCAAGCCTACTACTGCTAAATGACTTAATTTAAACTCATGGCTACCCTACAGAACAAAACTGTAGGGTCTCTCATCTTGTCATTTCCTTTCATTGCCATCAAGGTGGAATTCACTCAAAGCTGACCCTACAGTGGTTTTCAGAGGCTGAAATTGCATTGAAGTAGAAAATTGCACCTAAAAGTTGGGCAGTGACTAAGAATGACAGAAGAATTGATGCCTTTGAGTTGTGTTGAATAGTACTGAATATCCTATGGAATGCCAAAGGAACCTTTGTTCCTATGTCTTAGGGAAAGTACAACCAAAATGTTCGGGCTAGTCTTGGAAAAGGACTGTGTAAGAGAAGAAGACCTTAAGCAAGAAGGATTGAAACAATGGCTATCACAATGGACTCAAGAATATCAGAGATAGTGAGGGTAGCACAGGATAGGGCAAGGTCCAGGTCCCTTGTTCATAGGGTCTCTATGAGTCTTTGTGATACAAAACAATAACATGATCTCTGATATGCGCAAACTCGTTGTGTCAGTAACAGTTCATGGGACATTCAGTAGTCTTCTCTAACACCACAACTTTTCTTGTTAGTTTATTTTTATTGTTATGTGCTATCTCTGACACACCTGACCCCTTTGCCATTGTCATTGTGTCAATCCATCTCATCCAGGATTTTCCTCTTCTGCGCTGACCCTCCACCCTTCTGACAGCATGACCAAAGTATGTGAGACAGAGCTTCAGAATCTTTGCTTCCAAGAAGCAACCTGGTTTCACCCTCTCCAGGCAGATCTGTTTGTTCTCTTGGCAGTCCATATTCTTTTCCAGAACCACAACTCAAAATGAATTGATGATTCTTCTCTCATCCTTATTTACTGTGCAGCTGACAGATGCATAGCAAGCAGTTGAGAAGATCATGGGCTGGATCAGGCACACCTTAGTCTCTAGACTAACATCATTTCTCTTTAACATTCTGGAGAGATCCTTGACAGTAGAGTTTCTCAGTTCAGCTCATCTTTTGATTTCCTTACTGCTGGTGCCAAGGGGGTTGATTGTGAACCCAAGTAAGATGAAATTATTAACTTTAATCTTTATCTATGATGATGCTGCCTCTTGGCCTTGTTGATGAGGATCGTTGTTTTCTTGATGTTGAGATGCAATTCAATATATTGAAGGCTTCAGTCCTTGATCTTCTGCAGCAAATGATTCAAGTCCTCCTCAGTTTTGGCGAGCAAAGTTTTGTCATCTGTACAACACAGGTAGTTGATGAGTCTTCCTTCTATCCCAATGTCACATTATTTTTATAAAGTCCAGCCTCCTACATGATCTGTTCAGCGTATAGATTGAAAAGGTATGCAGAAAGGATGCATCTCTGACACATTCCTTTCTTGATTTTGAACCATGCAGTACTCCCTTGCTTTGTTCAGACAGCTGCTTCTTGCTCTAGATGTACATTTTGCATGAGCACAATGAAATGTTCAGGGATTCCCATTTTTCTCAATCTAAGCCATACAATTTGTTGTAATCTACATAGTCAACTGCCTTTTGCATAGTCAATAAAACAAATAGACATCTTCCTGGTACTCTCTGCTTTCAGCCAAGATTCATCTAACATCAACAGCAATACCCCTAGTCCTCTTCTAAAATCAGATTGTATTTCTTTCAGTTCTATGTTGATGTACTGCTCTAGTTGTTTTTTAATCATCTTCAGCAAAATTTTGCTTAAATGTGATATTAATGATATTGTTCAATAATTTCTATGTTCTGTTAGATCACCTGTTTTGGGAATGGAATAAATATGGATCTCTTCCAGTTAGTTGGGCAGGTTGCTGTTCTCCAGATTTCTTGGCATAACCTGGTGAGCACATCCAGAGCTGCGTCAGTTTTTTGAAATATATTGATTGGTATTCCATCAATTCCTTGGGCCTTATTTTTTGCCAGTACTTTCAGAGCAACTTGAACTTTTTCCTTTGTTACCACTTGTTCGTGATCATACACTTCTTCCTGAAATGTGTATCAGCCAGTTCGTTTTGGTACAGTGACTCAATGTATTCCTTCCAATCTTCTTTTGATGCTTCCTAGATCATTCAAGATTTTACCCATAGCATCTTTAAGTATTGCAGCTTGAGGCTTGAATTTGTTCTTCAGGTCCTCCAGCTTGAGAAATAAGGAGCGAGTTTTTTTCTTTCTGATTTTCTAACTCCAGCCCTTTCTCTCTGCTGGATGTGGAGGGGTCTTTCTTTCCTTCAGCATCCATTGGCCCAGTGTTCCTTGGAGACCTCCATATGTTTTGGCTTTCCACAGTATCAAGGAGCAGGGCAGGCACCTATGTCCAAAAGGATGCACCTTGTTCCATGATTAGATCACCTCCCTTGGCTTCCTTTGCTCTGCTTTTGTCTCTAACTATATAAAAGGTTTTATCATCCTCTCTTTAGGGGAACTTCCTTTACATTTGAATAGCTCTGAGAAGAGAGTAGATAGTGTTGCATTCTGCCCTTAATCCTCTTAAACTGTTTGGTTTAACAGCTCATTGGTGATCATTATATATCTACATGTATTTTGGGAGGATACAGTTCAATCCATGACATTCCACTCTTTGGAATTCATATCCTTGAATTTACATTTCATCACTAAAATTCATATCCGTGTCACATACAAAACACTTAATCCCATTATGTCATCATGAAAGTATTAAATCAAGTCCATGTCCATATTCTCTCCTGGGGCAAAATTCCTCCTCACCTATGAATCCAGAGTGCAACTTATGAGCCTCCAGAGTTCAAAGATGAGAAACATACAAAGGAGAAATTGCCATTATAAATGGGAGAAGTCAGAGGGAAAGAATGAACAGTGACACCACGCAAGTCCAGTTTGCTAGTGTAAATTCAGATAACCTCAAGGTTTTTCAATTTTCTGAGGTCATCTATGCAGTGGCTCTGGCCTCTGGTTTCTGGATGTTGGCCATTTTCTCAGTGCTCAGAGTGGAGTCCCCTTCACCTGGGCTTCAGCCCTGCCTTCTAGGCCTACTCCATCTATGCCTTTAGGCTTCGGGCAGTCCCATTCTTGTCCAGCCTAGTAGTGATCCTGCTTCCTCCTCTGACCATGTCCCATTCATTGGTCTGCCGCCTCAGGCATGGCAGCTTTAGGCAGTTCTCATCTTCATGGCAGCCCACATTCTGGAATCAGGTTGGCAAAGATTTGACTCTTTGACACCTAGGAAACTGACCCCACCCTTAGAAACCCCAGAAGCCATGGTCCTCCACTTTGAGACCAAGGGGTTGTAAGCTTGCTTGGAGACTGAGGCAGCTCTGTTTTTCATGTTTTTTGGTCTTTTGAAAAGACCAGCATGGCCTCTTGTCATGCTCCAGTAAATGCTGGAAAGCTTTCCTAACTGAATTGTAGCTGACCCTCCACCGGATTTTCAGCAGCTAATAAATCATTCGGCAGTTTGACCTTCTTCACTCCTCAGAGCAACTAGTGTTTTTTAACCATAAACCTTAGGGTTGGCAGTACAACTTCTTACCACTTGGCCACCAAAGTGTTTTCATTGTTGTATGTCAGTTTGGAACTGATTCATAGCTGGCTTTCTAGCGGGTTTTCAGAGACAGTAAATCCTTCTCCTGTCAAGCAGTTGGTCGATCCAAATCATGTACCTTTGGGGTTGCAGCGTGTCTTCTTAGCACTAGAACACCACAACACCAAGAATTACCTGAAGGCACACGACTTTGCCAGTAAGCTTAGACCCAGAGGCACTCACCTTTCTAACTCAAGCCCTGCTCAGATGACAAGTGCTGAGATGCTCGCACTCAACCAGGAAGAGTCCCAATAGAAAACATTCAGTAGTTTGGCTCTGTGGGTCGGAATGTTGCGATGTCTCGGCAGCCTCCATCTCTGCACAGGACTCCTCGTTCTGCTGTTGCTGTTTCCTGGCCGCTGGTTCTAGTTGTCTAGTTGTGGTCTTAAAATGCTCTTCTTCTGAGCCTTCATCAGAATTGTCATTGATCATGCCAATTCAAGACTCAATCATCTGTTGCTAAATTACTATATAAACATTTACAGTTACGAAAAAGCTTTCACATCGTCGTTGAATTACACTCTCGTGGCATTTCCTCACTCACCCTGACCACCCAGGATTAGGTGAGAATACATCCTTGACCACTTTGTGTCAACTCACAGCATCCATGGTCACGTGGGACAGGTCCTGGGTGCCAGCTGTCGGCTCAGAGTTGACACAAACACCTGCACTTAAGGCAGCTCCTTTCTCCCCAGCTCAGTCTCCCCTGGTGCTGGGCCCTTCTTCATCGACTTCTTGTGCAGCTTTTCTGTCACTCAGCCACCCAGAGCCTGGACTTCACAGATGTGTTGCCCTTTTCTGTCCACTAAGACACCAAACTTGATACAGGATGTCCAAAGATGAATTCTCACCTAATTCTGAGTGGCCAGGTGAGAGAAGAAATGCTGTGAGAGTGGCTAGCTATGAGGAAAAGAGATGTGGGAGGTACAGCTTGGATCTCTTCTTCATGGCATTTGATTTTGTGCAGCTTCTCACTAGAGAGTTAGAAATACGGTCGAATTTACTCCCTTCGCTCATTTTCAGAACTGAAAAGATAATTTTAAGTTTTCTAGAACTTCAACATTGAAATGGTGATGTTTCAAATGATGGCCATTCTAGTCTTTTCTCATTTAATTTGAAGATTTTCTCATACCCAATATTTTGAATTTTCCCCTTTGACTGAGAGGTTCTAAATCGTTTTAGATCATCAATATGATGTCTTTAGTAAGAGTTGAGTTGCAAGTAATTTTTTTCATTGCTATACTAACTCATATGCATGAAACAATAATAGTATTTATACCTAATTCTTCCAAAGCCAACTTTAAAGATGATCAGTATTTTCCCCCATTTAATTGTGGCAGCATATACATATGAAATTTTTTTTCTATAATTATATTTTATTAATTTTCATAAACATTTACAGAGATTTTGGGTTTCCATTCATTCATTGTTGCACTATTCTCTCTACCCTCCTCCCAGTTTGTTCTTGTCCAAATGCCACAGTGCTTGTCAAAGCCAGTTCTGATTAATCTTCTTTGTCAGTGTGTCCTTTGCCATTCCCTATCACTCCTCTCTGAGAGAGACTTCACCCTGAGTCATAAGGAAAAGGGGATGGCGTATTCTCTTAGCTACTTCCTGCTGAAAAGGGACGCTGTGGGTTTCAGGGTGAAGATCTTCTCTCACTACTCTAAAGGGCCCCTTTGGCAGTAGGAAACACATAGACTATTATGGAGATTGATTTTGGAATTTAGATGCACTCTTATTGATTGTGCTTGGCTGTACATGTTCATATCCTTGAAGATGTATCATGGGGGTGTTGCAACCTAGAAGACACAAATTTGACTAACAAGTTATAAGTACATGAGTAAAAAATTATGGAAAAGTAAAAGAAAGGATTCTTTCATTGTTTTACACACCCTCCCCCAGGTCCCCTCCACCATGTAGCCCTCGCTCTAGTCTCCTGTGATGACAGAAATACCTAGTTATATATCTCTTTTAAACAGTTTTCTCCTTCCTCTGTTTCAGTGCAGTATACATTATTGAACCCATCTTACTCAGTCTCTCCCCAACCCCAAGGACAGTCCCATTCTACAATGGTGGCATCATGTAATATTTGTCCTTTTGTGACTGGGATATTTCACTCAGCATAATGTTCTCCAGAGTCAACCATTTTGAATAATATTGCATGAGTTCCTTGTTTTTTAATGCAGCATAGTATTCCATTGTGCGATATACCACAGCTTCTCTATCCATTCGTTTGTTGATGGGCACTTAGGTTGTTTCCAACTCCTTGCTATTGTGAACAAAGCTGCAATGAACATGGGTGTGCATATATCTGCTTGGATGTCAGCTATGGTCTCTTCAGGGTATATTCCCAGTAGTGGAATTGCTGGGTCAAATGGTATCTCTATTTGCAACTTTTTGAGAAAGCGCCATACTGCTTTCCACAGGGGTTGCACCATTTTACACTCCCACCAACAGTGAATCAGGGTTCCAGTTTCTCCACAACCTCGCCAGCATTTGTTGCTTGCTGTTCTGTTAAATATTAAAAAATATGAAATTTTTAAAAAACTGCTATTTTGACCATTTTTAAAATGTACCGTTGAGTGGCATTAATTACATGCACAATCGAAAACTAAAGCTATTTTTAGAAGGGGTTCACTCTCTTAAGGGGAGGCAGTACCTTAAAATATGATAGTGTGCTATAGCCAGAAGTTTTCATCACCTCAAATGGAAATTCAGTAGCCCTTTTTACAGTCTCTGATTATTCCCAATAAACTTTTGTTTCTAGATGAGCAGTGTTGTTTTGTAAGATGAGTTTCTACAGGCCATATCTGAACCTGGAAGAGTTCAGTCTTTTGGAATTAAAGTTTTCCAGGTATCTTCATACTCAAAATAAGTCTGAATGGATATGTTCTTATTTCCTGACAGCCCATTACTAGCTCTCCACCGAAATGGATGGCTGAAATAGAGCGGGACGATATTGACATGTTGAAAGGTAAGTGATTATAATGACTTCCAACTTGTACACTAACATTTATTCCTCTCTGCAGATCCTTACTTTTGCAGTTTTTTGATCATTTTTCTCTGGTAGTATTTTAAGCTTCAGTGAAACAACTCATTTAATCATACTTTCCCCCAGTTCTTCTTGCCTAAATTCCTTTCTCTACTCTTTCCATATGTGCAAATCCTGCCAATTCAAGACTCAATCATCTGTTGCTAAATTACTATATAAACATTTACAGTTACGAAAAAGCTTTCACATAGTTTTCTCATTTTATTCTCATATAATTCCAGTGATTGAGGTGTGTTACCCAAGGTTCTTAGGTGGTTTCACCAACATTTGCAAGACTTAAAATTCGAACTCGGATCTTCTATGTGCCTAATTTTCTTTTTGTCTACAATGCAACTGCATAATTAGGACTTAATGCTGTATAGTTTTGTTAGTGCTATTAAATAACCAACTTTTAATGGGTTAAGACCTTTTATTTCTTCCTGTCCTATTAAGTTCTTCAATGAAGAATACTGTAAGTAGAGAATACTATTGTTTGATAAATGGCTCAGAACCTAATCACGAAGTGGAAATTTAAATTAAAAATCATTAATTTTCCTTGGTTATTTGCTCTTTATATTTTGATCATCCTTTGGTTGATAAGATTCATGATGCTTGTGAAGTAATAGACTGAAATTAAGGTTAAAAGCTGGTATTCTTGAGCTATTTAGGAAGCTGAACAGATCCAGAAAGTCTACTTGTGCCAGGTATAATGACTGTGACATGATAAGTGGGAGGATAAAGACACCTTTATTTGATTCCAGAAGTAATTCATTGTTCTGTATGAAATGCTTAAATGCAGATGCTTAAATCCTCTCTTTCAGCCCTGGAAAAATTAAGTCTCAAGGACATCTCATGTTCATTGTTCTAATGCACCAAAAAGATGCTTGTGTGATCAGTATGTATTCAAAGGAAACTTTAGAAATCAAATAGAGGATCATAGCATTGTGTTACATGCAAATTAACCTATATTTAAGCCTAGAAAGAATTGAGTACTATTGAAATGAAATCTAGAAGAATAAGATGTAAAAATAAACAAACAAATTTTTTTTTTAAATTGCCATTTTATCTGGTTAAATAGAAAAGAAAATTTATAGGAATTTGTTTGAAGGGTAGGCTTGAATTTATATTTTCTGAATTTAGAGAAATTGGGGAACAGTAATAAGTTTTTGTTTGTTCTCAATTTATAATGTATACTTAAAAAGAGGCAGTGGAGATAATGTTCATTTTACAAGATAGAGATTAACTTGCAAGGTTTGGTTCTACATCCAGTCCCGATGTTTCATATTTTAATGATGTGTTCATTTTATGGGAGCTCTTGAAAGTCCACAGGGAGTTACACTACTAATCCAAAGGCCACACCTCTCTGATGTTTTGAATCCACCAGTGTCTCCTTGAGAGAAAGATGGGAAGTCTCCTCCCATGCTGTGAGTTCTGGAGCAGTGAGTGAGATTGATCCATTTTGTACTGAAGGCAAAAGAAATAGGAAAATGAGGACGTTAGCATCATTATAAATCATTTAATTTGCTATTGTTTTTATGCTAATTATTTTCACATTAAATGAATAAAATTATCTGAGACATTTTGTAAGAATGGAATAATTTATTGGTTTGTTTTGAGGAGAGAGGGTGGGAAAGAATAGATTCACCATTACCTACTTATGCCACAGGAATTAAGCAAAATAACTGGAAAACTTCTGTAACAAGGTCCCAGCTGAGGTATATTGAGAAGAGTGGAGAGAAATAGTATTGAAAGAAATGCTTCTGTTTCAGAACTGGGCAGTCTGACCACGGCTAACTTGATGGAGAAGGTACGAGGTCTACAGAACCTGGCCTATCAGCTGGGCCTGGATGAGTGTGAGTAACAGGATTGCTTTTATTCAGGGATATTGATTGTATTTTGCATGATGAGTTCTACTAAAAATTGAAGGTATATCTTTGTTAGGGAAAAAAGATACATGTTCTGACAAGAAGTTGATAAAATGTATCTTTTATAATAGAACGGGCTAGAAGAATTACTGGGCTTACGGGGTAACAAATTATTTTTCTCTGTGCAGTAAAAGCTTACTGGAATTCTTTGACTTTTAAGAGAACAGCTTCTCAAAATAGCGTAAGCGAAGAGGGGCTTAATTAGCTCGTATACTCAAAAATCCAGGATAGAGATGTCTGGATCAATAATTCTTGAAATCATTGGGGTTTGGTCTTCTGGCTTTTGTTTTAGATCAGGTATCTTCATTCATGCATTTGTTTACCTTTTCCCCCTATAACTGAATAATGTGTCCAAAAGGAATTCTTATTTATGTATCTTTCAGTCTTATCCCTAAAAGAGTCCTGTCTTTTATTTAAAAGAGTTCTCCAGTAAAGACCTCTCACATCTTTCTCATTCATGGACTCAGCCTAAGTCCTGGGTTTACTCCTGGGTACAAATGCAGAGTAGAAGGGTTAGTCTTTCTCAGATTTCATGGAATGGGGAAGGGTTGGTTCCTCAAAGGGAAAGATAAAGGACAGACAAGCAACTTATCTGCAATTATGGATAATACTTTAAAAATCCTGGTTCATTCCTGTCTGCTCTCCTTTTTGTTAGCTTAAATTTATTTCTTTATAAATTGTACTTGAAGCACTAAACCAAAACTCAGGAACAAAAACACTTGTCCCTGCCAAATGAGTTCTGTGAGCACAGCAGAGATTTTTTAAAATACATATATATTCTAGTCAAAATTCAGCCTATTCAACATTAGCAGTGCTTTGCAACCAAGTGTCATTTTCCTTGATCATAGTGAATTTAGCTGGCATGTAGAAAACAGTTTTTAAATTAAGAACTGTAAAGAATTACAATGATATGTATTATACTTCCTGGATGCAGTCTTTCTTTGTTTTATTGTGTATAGTATATTTGCATAAAAACAAGATCTTTTTTGTTCCTTGTAGATTATTCATCTGCTCTAGGGGTTGGCTTTTACTTGACACCCTAATCTGGTGTTTCGATGTCTCAATCCTCTTTTCCTGCATTAATTGAGAGAATGACATGGATGAAAAATAAGCAGTAAGAGTTGATGAATCCCCAAGGACCAATGATCCTGTTTTCATGCAAATATCTGTGCTGATAAAGATGATGGCAAGGAAAAAAAATGCAAGAAATATTTGTCCTCAAAGCATGATTGTTTGTAACTTCCCATGAGCATTGTTAAATGTTAGTGTAGAACTAATGCGAGCCCTCCAGGGCTCCTGGCAACAACACTGTCTTTTGGAGGATAAACTGATGCTTTCATTTGGGAGGTGATTGTCCTTTTAGTTACCCTTTTGGGGTGCAATTTTGAAATGGAAGGACGTTTTCTTTCTTACAGATATTTGTAGCTTCCCAGGTAATGGGGACTTGATTTAGCAATTAATATGTATGAAACTCCCATACAGTATATGTTGTTGGGTTGTTGTTGGTTGCCTTCGAGTTGAGCACGACTCATAGCAACCCCATGAACAAAAGGGCCGAAGCTCTTCCATAACCATCACCATTTATCAAAGTTCACAGAGTTTCCAGAGGTGTGCTGTTGAGGAAGTGGATGCCACTCCTGCTTCCAATTAAAATATCAAAAAGTACAGAAATAGTAAAATTGCTGCACCATACAAAGGATTCCATTTCTGTTACTTCCTCCTTAGTTCATTGCTCTTTCTCTTTCATTAGAATGGTGGCAGTTACCTCTCATCTACCCTATTCCGTTTTGGCTGCCTCTGCCAGCTTAATTTTTTAAGAGTTCAATTTACTTATGTTATTCTTTTCTTTGGGACTTGTTGGAAGCTCTTCATTACATACACAAGCAATTCAAACACTTTCGCGTGATATAATAAATGTTATAGACTCTTGCCCTAGCCCGATTTCTAGCCTTTTAGTCCACGTTGCTCCTACAAAAATACAGTGCAGTTTCTATTTGAAGTACTTGCTATTCCTGGAATATACATTAACCCTTCTTGCCTTCTTAGTTCTGTGCGTGGTATTCCTTTTCTCGGATCTACTCCCTGACCCTAGTCATTCTCTAGTCATTGTCCAACTCTCTGATGCATAACAAGCAACAGAAGGAGAGTGGATGCTTTTGAGCTGTGGTGCTGGAGAAGGGTACTGAATGTACCATGGACTGCCAGGAAAACAAACAGATTGATCTTGGAGAGGATTAAATCAAGCTACTCCTTGGAGGCAAGGATTCTGGGGCATCGTCTGACATACTTTGGACACGTTGCAAGGAGGGACGGGTCCTTGGAGAGGGACATCATGCTTGGGAGGGTGGAGGGACAGCGCAGGAGAGGAAGACCCTCTATGAGATGGATTGATTCGGTGACTGGGGTAATCGGGATGGGTGTGTCAGAGGCAGTGTGGTTGGCGCAGGATAGAGCAGGGTTTATTAGGGCTGTTGTGCATAGGGTTGCTATGAGTCGAAAACGACTCGACAGCACATAACAACAACAACAACTCCCTGACCTTGGTCTGATATTAGAACTTTTACTTGTCCTTTAGGACTCAGCCCAGCGTCTGCCTCATTAACGTGTCCTTCTCTGTTACTAGAACAAAGATAGGCAGTCTTCTCCTGGGAGATTTATAGCCTTAGAAATCTCACTGGAGGTTTGACTTAAGTCAGTTCCATCTCAGTGGAAAATAATATTAGAAAGGGGAGCTCTCTGATGGCATAGTGTGTAGGGAGTTGCAATGTCAACCCAAAGGTGAGGCCTCACTAGCAGTTTGAATCTACTAGAGGCTTGAGGGGAGAAAGGTGGGCAATCTTGTTCTATGTGATTTAGTTTCAGCAGCCTGCTAGAAGGTCTGTTATGTGTCAGTTCTGACTGCGTGGCAATGCGTGACTAGAAAGGAAAACTTGACCTCCCAGATTGGTCCTTGAGTAATTTGTTTGTTTCATTTGTAGAACACTTTGATCACTCTTCGTAGGGATTGTTTTTTAATATGTGTTTAGCACTCAGCTTGATTGTAACTCTTTGAGGGAAGATTTCTATTTTGAGTTGTTTTGTAGCTCTTGGTAGTACTTGGTATAGTAAGTATCCACCTCTTATTAAAATGATTCCTCATGCCTACAGAAAGAAATGACAGAATTTCTTCAACAAAGCTGTTGACTTAAAGTTTAGTAAGTGGAAGTGTCTGGGAATGGTTCTTTTCTGAATAGTTGGTGTTTTAGTGATTTGAAGTAACATTTAATAGTTTTGTGATATCTGGAACTCCTCTCTCTTACCAGAACTGTATTCCATGACCTGGGCCCAGATTTAGTCCTTGTAAATTACAGCAGTGCATTGCTTTTCCCATAAGACCCAGGAAATTACCATAGTTCCTACTGAATACTGATTCTTAGCAGATTTCACTTTTTTCTGGTTGCCCTGACCATTCTCCTCCCCCAACCCCATCAACCCAAACTGCTACCTTGCTGAAGATGACAAACTTTTAAATAATCCTGCAGAGTGATATGTCAAATATTTTTAAATAGATTTGAAAATTAGTAAAGCACGAGAACATGCTATTTGAAACTAGGCTAAAGCTTGGGCCTTTTCTCTCTTTCTTTCCAGTCTAGATGTCTTATTCCATTTTCTCAGCTAATTGTCCTGACTGTTAGGTATTGGCTGGTGTGTATTGTTGAGTCAGAACAAACTCATAGCTGACCTGTCAGGGAGTTTTCAGGGATAGTAAATAGCATGAGGGGAGATTGCCCATCTTTCTCCCATGGAGGAGCAAGTGGATTCGAAGTGTGTGACTTTGTGTTTGCAGCTCAACTCCTTGCCACTAAGCCACCAGAGTTCCCTGTTTTTCCTGACTAAAATCTCCAGATATAAGTAGCCAGAGTGGATGTCTTTGTTTTGTTCCTAATGTTAGGGGAAAACATTCACTGTTTTATCATTAGGTCAGGGGTTTCTGTGGAATCTTTTATCAGCTTTGTTAAGTATTTTATAATAAAAGGTATTGGACTTGGTGCATTTGTTCTTTGACACATAGTTAATCATGTTATGAAAGAAATTAAAAATCTCAATTTAATTTATACTCATTTGGACGAGGTTGAAATAAACTTGTAGTATAAAGAAGAGATTGGCTAAACAAGTTATTAATGTAAATGAGATTATACTCTATAAAAAAGTAAGATCATATTTACCTTTAAAGAAGCTTTATGCTTATATATTCATTTTAACAGTTTTCGTGAAACTATTACGATGGAATATAACAACAACATTATTTGACTAAATATAATAATTTTACAAGAGTTTTTAAAAGGAACATTTTATTGAGAAAAACTGAGACTTCTTGATTCAAACCAGATACTTGATCCTGTTCATTCACATTGGAGAAACTCTGGTGCATCCAACTTTCTTTAATTTTGCCGTCAAAGAAATGCTTTTGGTGGAGTTAGCCTTTGGTGTAATAGACCTCTCTAACCTCAACACATGTAGTTCTTGAAAAAGTAGCAACTTATATTTAAAAATTCTTTCCCATTTAATAAATTTTAAAGAACAATTAGATTTACTGGGCTTTTTGCCCTAACCTATGAGGGAGAGGAAAGAGTATTACCAGCATCTATTACATCTGTGTAGTCTTCTTTGTGGTCCTGATATTATTTGTCTGGCTTTATTCCTAAGTACCCTTTAGTCCTGCCACTTTAACAGTTAACGTTTATTATGCTTGACTGATTGAAGGAACTTTGGTAGTCACTTAACTTTGGCTAAGACATTTAGCTGTTAACTAAAAAAGGTCTTTTGTTCCAGTGCCAGTACACCGTGCAGGAAAAAGATGAGGCAGTCAGCTTTCATAAAGGTTTACACCTTTGGGAATCTTATGGGAACCTTACTCTACTACAGGTTTACTATGCTCGTGGTAGTTG